AGAGAGAGAGAGAGAGAGAGAGAGAGAGAGAGACGTGTTTACGAAGTGATTTCTACTTAGAAGGTGGTTCTTTCAAAGTAATTCGCTGCTCTCCTAACTTTCTTGGAGTGAAATCTTACTGAAGACGAGCGGACATTCACTTTGAGTGGTAAGATGATATCACAGCCTATATTTAAGATTGTCTTAAGTCCATCTTTAGATACTGCACGCATCATTTCACTGGCACACGCAGCATCTGAAAAGATGAACTTGAGGTGTGATGTTAAATATAAAATCGGATGATATTCATAGTTAGATTTTATATTTATACTGAGAAAAAATACTTGAGAGTTGATTTATGTGATAGGAAATTTATTCACAGTGATAAACTTTGTTTCACAAAAATAAACTTTATATGACTAGATGCAGCGCATCAAATTCATTCTTATTTAATTAAATTTCAAGTAAAAATATCATTAAAATGTTTTATTATTATTAATAAAATATTAATAAAATACTTTTATTTAAAGAAGAAAACACGAGCCATAAAAAGTTGCTTCGACACCGAGTAACTCGGTTCTAATTCTTGAATGGAATTTCACTCCAAGACATTTAGGATACTACTACTCGCGCTACGACAGTAGAATAAACGTTTCTATTCTAATTAAGAGAACGTGTACTGAGATGCACGCGACATCGGAATTCTTGCAAGAAAATGTCGTCTCGCCGTAACAGAGTGATCTTTCGACAGTTCAGCATGGAAAAAATCTACAAGGCCGAGGAGATCGTCCGTAACAATCACAGCAAGTCTCTGTGGATAGTGATTCATGGCAGCGTGTACAATCTCACGGAATTCTGCAAGGAGCATCCCGGTGGCGAGGAAGTGCTGCTGGAACTAGCTGGAAAGGACGGGAGCAAATGTTTCGACAGTATCGGGCATTCCGTCGAGGCGATCAGACTTCGGGATTGCTTAAAGATCGGAGAAATGGAAAAGGGCGCGATTCTGGAAGAGCCAGAGGCTAAACCAGGTTCGACAGTTTTTTTTCTCATGCATTAATTGCTCGGATGTCTCGAGAAAAATGTATCGAAATTTAAAAAGTAGGACAATTTCTTGAAAAGAACCGTAAAAGTACCGATGTCTGGACACCTAATTCAAAACATTTGTTTTGGTCTTTAAATAAAAATAATTTTTAATATAGAGAATATATGCACATATATCGGAACTTTGTTGGATAGCATATAAATACAGGGTATAGCAAAAGTACCGGAACGGCAAGATAACTCAGCGGGGGAGCATTTTAGAGAAAAATGTTTCAAATAAAAGTTGTAAGGCTTAAAAGTCGCATTTAATGACAGTAGTTATTTGACCTAAGATATTTACGTAAATATTTTAGAAAATAGAGGTCGTATAAAAAATTTTTTCAAGCAAAAGTTGTTTACTTTTTTACGAAGAATAAAATGCCGTAACAAAAAATATGTATTTCTATTTAAAAAAGCAAAGTTGACCTTGTCCTGACCTTGGCGACGTCATCTTAGGTCAAATAACTACTGTCATTAAATGCGACTTTTAAGCCTTACAACTTTTATTTGAAACATTTTTCTCTAAAATGCTCCCCCGTCGAGTTATCTTGCCGTTCCGGTACTTTTGCTATACCCTGTATATGGTTAACGTATTAAGTTTGGAACGTGTGATTTTTAGTGTATTGAATAGAATATGGAGGTCGTATAAGGAAAATTAAGTAGAAATGAGTGCGTAGGTAATATGTAAGTGAAAATCAAATAAGACGTTAAGTAGAATAGTAGTATTTAGAGTGGAAAAGGTGCATAGAAAATAGAGGTTATGGCGTTATAAGGAACGGATAGCTAAGATAGTGCTGGTAATGTAGGCAAGTTATTAATAAAGGAAATATATAATAGATAACATAGAATAGAAGACGGAAATACATAAGAGATGGAAGAGGAAAGGGATACAGAAGATGAAGAAAGATGTTTTGGTCATTGAATGGAATTAGGAAGTCAAATAAAGGTATACGAAAGAAGGATGATAGAAAAACTGATGGGATAGATGCTGCGTAAGTAAGAAGGGTGAATAAGAGGCAAAGAATAAGAGGAAGGTTGTAGGATATGGAACATTTTTTCTTGGCGATGTAAAGCTGAAGGTAACATATAAGAGATGAAAGGAAATGCGTAGAAGTCACTTGGAGCTAATAAGGCGGTAGAAATAATTCGGGATATTATCTCGGTAATCCGATTTCGATATTATGACTTTTCGAAAAATTGTCTCAGCTTTTGAAATTCGAGATTTTTCAAGATAATGCACGTCTATCATTGCTCGTTTATCGCTTTAATCGTTAAGCGTTTTTAATCGGATTCTACGCTTTTTAACAATATTCTGCTTTGGTTGGATGCCGATTTATATATCTTCTTATTTTCATTCTTCTTCGTTTTCCATTGCTATCACGGCTTTTATCAATACCGTCGCGAACTTGCAAAAGTCGAGATAAGCAAGTAGAACTATTTCATATGTTGTTGTTCTAGCCGGGGAATTAGTTGGAAAAATTCGTTCGTCTTTTTACGTTAAAAATGTTTTTTGTTTAGACATTTTTTTACGTTGGATTTTCCACGTTAAAGAATTGTATTTTTGTTTGTGTTGCAGTAACAAAAGCATCAATAGATCAATCAAAACTTGACGATCAAAGGCAAAAACAAGATGAGGAAGAACAAAAAGAGGAGGACAAATCGTTTATTCCGCTGATCGCCGCCGCGGTTGTCATTTACGCGTTTATAGTTTATTATATATGGTTCTGGTAAAAATATAATCGCACATCTCGCTAGATGTGCCCCGCAAAATTCACTCAGTGAGCGCAATTAATTTTAACGAAACGTTAAAAAAATATTATATATAAAATAATATATAAAATATTATATATATATATATATATATATATATATATATATATATAAAGAATACGTAGAATTGCGTAAAATCTGTCCCCTCAAAGGTGAAAGTTTCTTTTCCATAAGAAATTTATTATTTTTAACAATTTAAAAACACTCCTGAATCGTGTTAATATGCGCGATGATTTATTTTTGTGACGTCGATGAGACGAACGACAAAAAGGGAATCATAAATCAATCGAGCATTTCGATCAATTTATTCTGCTTTAATAAACTTTGTTCATGAAATTTCTCTGAATAGCCGTCGCGCAACCTGCGGAAGTGACATTCGTGTATACGTTTGCATAATTAAATTTGTATGTTACAATGCGAGCTGCCACGGGAGAAGAGCCCGCTGAGGAAATAAATCATATTGAAAATTATCGTAGTCACAATCGCGATCTAATATTTAATTTTCTGCGCGTTCGCACAACAATACACAGCTATTCGGATGATGCGTTCAAGGGAATGCTTCAATAAATCATTTAAGACGAACTTAAAATCGACGCGCGTGCATACATCTGTGATACGTCAGATAGTCAAATGAAGCAGCCGCGATGCGTTACAGTTCAGCGAATCATAAAAACTTTCAACGAGCGTGCGATGAGATAAATATTGGGCGACTGCGAAATATTATTATCGCGCTAGCGTTGCCGTTTTTGGGGAAAAATTGTTGCTGTGAAATAGCAAAAGGAAGAGAAAGAGAGGCAAGGGGGAAGAGAGAAAATCAAAATACTTGGCATTGTTGACTCGATGTGGCAGATGTGCTTGCAAAATACAGTCGACCGAGCGACTATCGCACTTATCTCACAGCGACATGCGCGCGCTGATAAATACGCGGCGTCACCGTGACTAGACGCTTTCGAATGCAACGTCGTGCCTGCACGATGCGCCAGTGCAGAATTAGAAATAGCACTGGCTATCCTTTAAAAGAAGGAAAAAGGTGCAATAAACAAATGTTATCGTCCCGTCCGTTGGATTATCGTAGATTCTTCGAGGGATTTCGAGATAATTAGTATATAATCGCTTAATCAATTAGATAAGAAGTATGAACCTATGGACTTATGTTCTGCTTCCTCATCTGCCGTTATTCTCGGGAATCATCGATGCATCGCGCGTTATATCACGTATCGATGCATGGAACGAAAATTGCGCGTGACGAAACAAATACTCGAGACTGCATAATAGACTTCAATGTTGAACGCATTATTTAATTTACGTAAATATTATTTGAATTGTCGCTTGGAAATTATCGGCGATACGTAACGTGGCGCGACGTCGTCAAAATTCACCGTTAAAACTTCCGACGGATTCCCCGTTCGGCCGCTTTCAAATCGATATGCCGTTTTCACAGCCGGCAAACAAACAAATACAGAAACAAGCTCGATTTTATTAGTTTCATCAATATTTTTATCATATAAATTGAATATCGTCCCGCCCGTTATTTTGGCGGAATTCGCGCTGCGCTAGAAAATCAGTAGAGAGCAGACAATTCTTGCTTCTCTCTCTCTCTCTCTCTCTCTCTCTCTCTCTCTCTCTCTTATACAATTCGAGAATCGTATCGGTGATCGGAGGAATCGCAAGGAAGTATGAGTGTAACAAATGGATTTGCACTACGTGAACGAGAACGCTCTACGAGTGACTGCTCATCTTGCGTATGTACTTTCTTAAGATCAGCTTCTAAAGCTAGGTTATGACGTACTACGCAATTTACGAGACCATTTTCCACGTCGCCCAGTACTGCAAACTTGAGTCTGAAGTCTCGGACTCAAATGAAACACGACGGCCACGAGTTGATCCGGAATATTGTCTACCATAGAAGACGACAGAACGAAAGAGAAAGAGAGAGAACGACTTTTTAACTCCAAAATCCTAAAAATCCTAGAAATTTAGTCAGATAAAATTTTCAAACGTTACCCTCCGTTCCTAAAAATATGTGCTTTGTTCTTTTATTGTAACCTTTTTCAATTTTACTGAATCGAATATTTTTGTTCTAGAACCAAACAGGGCCTTCTTCTCGCCTTGAATTTTGCCAAGCCCGTTTATTTTGCAAAGATATTAATAGAATTATATTCCTTGGTACGATTTTCACCTTGATTAAAAACAAAAGCATCCAGTTTTGATCATTTTTTCGAGGGAAAAAATTATGAAAGCTAGGTGAAATTGGCCCATGTTTGAAGTTCATGTAATCCTGGACCTTTTAATCAGGATTAAACGATCTAGATTAAATGATTCTCAAGTCAATCCAAAAATGGTCGGCTGGTCCGATCTGATCAGCGGAACGACAGGTATCTCACTATGACGAAGTGATTAATTACAAGTGCTTACCAATCTATAGTCATAATCACGACGGAGTTATGATCACACGGTTGGCAGCGCTGAGACTGGTATCCGGATAACATGTAGCTGGTGTGGTGGGGCTGACGAGGACGACGTTGCGAACGGGGGGAATCATAAAGTTACGCGGCTAACCAGCCGGATTGCGCAGTGTTTGTGCGAATGTAGCCTCGAGGAGAAGCTCACGCGATACTTATACGTCGGGACTCAGGAGAAATCCCATCGATTCGCACCTGCGTCGACACCTGTCGTCTCCTGGCGCGTTTACTCCGAAGCATATAGAGAGCTGCGGGTGTCGCACGGACGTGCGCGACCACCCCCGCTGATCCACCCTCATTCAACGGTGAACCCGGCGAAGAAAGAGGAGGTACGTTCGGATCCGCGATTGGATCTGGGCTCGCGTATTCGCGTCGCGAACTCTCGGACGAGAGTCCTCTTTCTACCGAGAGAAGAGAACTCGCCGAGTTCCTGTTTATTTTAAGCAGAACGCAAAGGACATTATATCGATCCAACACACTCCTTCGAATTCGTATCTTGTTTGTTTGACGTAACTATTTCATATCTCCCCCCTCCCCCTCCCTCCCTCTCTCTCTCTCTCTC